TGCCAAGACTTGGCACACCATATTCAAAAATGTGACATTTTTTTTAAAGTTTTTTAAACTCCCTTTTTTCTATAAATTTAATTTAATTAATTAAATTTATATATAAATATATAAATTATATATAAATATTTAAATCAACATTTATTATAAGGGGTATCTGTCTATTGCAACCATACCATATAATAAATGAAATTAGCTAATAATAATAATTTCTTACGAATTCTTAGAATATCTCAAGTAATGATTTCCAAAATATTTATTATAATAAATTTCTTACTTTAGAAGAATACTTCTTACTTTAAAGAAATACTTTAGAATAAATTAAACTCTGGTAATTCTTTGGATATTTATTTTTTTAATTCTTTAGATGTTTTCTAAAATTCTCTATGAACTTCTATTCATCTCTGTGTGCTATTTGGGTTGAATATTCCTTATTTTACATATATGTATGTTTATTGAATGTTCATGGAATATTCTAGATATTTCACGATTATTTGAACATTCTGTGAACATTCTTTTAATATTCCGGTTTATACGGAACTTCTCTAGAATATAAACGGAATATTCTAGGAATACCTAACGTTTACTGGGTTATACTGTGTTAACTGTTTTGTTACTGTTACCTCGTGTTTGGTGGTACATTATTCAACAAATTTATTGTAGATCTTTTTGTAGTACCTCCAATTAAAATAATTAATAATTAAATATATTGGGTTGTAAATGGAGCACCCCGTTAAAAAAACATATATAACTACATTTCGTGCTGCATTTCTGCCGTGTTTCTGCAGCTACGTTCGAACGACACGTCATGATCGATTTCTGCTGTGTTTCTGCCGTTACGTTTGAGTGGCATGTCGTGATCGATTTCTGCCATATTTCTGCTGTCTCGTAATGTTACTTAATTAGTTTGATTTCTAATGCTTTTCTGTTCGCATGATATGACGTCATTCTTTGTTCGATTTTATGTTACTTCATGTCGAAAAATCATGTCTGTACTGAATATTTAAATTTTTGTCTTGCTCTGCTGACATATCGTGCTTCATTTTTGCATTATTTTTGCTATCATATCATGACGCAGATTTTGTTAGATTTCTGTTACATTTGTATACGCACTATCTGATATAGCAGACCATACTTCGTTACTGCCAAAATTATGTCAGCATAGTAATTATGCAGCACACACTTAGCAAAACCTGACTTTTGCAAGCTTGGCTATAATCTGGGATATTTTAACCTTCAAACTTAATAAAAATGGCATATTCAGTGGAGCAAATTAATAATAATCCTTGGCTTACTGTTAAAGACGGTGTCGGTGATGCAAAATGGTAGACTAAATTTATTAAAAAAATGTTCTGGGGCCGAAATTTGAAAAGTCATAATAGAATAATTTTAGTTAATTTTGTTTATTTAAATACCATTTCAGGAGATTTTTTACATGACATTTTAAGTTTTACCTTAAATAACTATATCGGTTCAGTATCTGCTGCTGCGCTGTTGTATGACAAGTCATGGCTCCTGCACACAGGACGCGGTAATGTTTGCCGCGCGGCAGAAGTCGCGTGACAGTCAATCAATATGCTGCTTTCCGTAATAACCTTCTAGCTCTTACGGAAAAACAACATATTGATTGGCTGTCGCGCGAACTTCTGCCGCGCGGCAAGCATTACCGCGTCCTGTGTGCAGAAGCCATCATTCCTGCGCAGCGAACTAACTGCTGTGAGTAAGCATGTGCGGAGACAACAAACCTTCTTGTCCCAACCTGCAGATGTCACTACTTGCGCGCGAGTTGATATATCGTCTGGTTATGATGTCCCGGATCGATTGGAAGTAGAGCCTAGTTACGTGTCAAGATCGTAGTTTGTGAATATTTACGTGTATGAATCGTCGTGGTCGAACGTGTAGATTGACGTCCTAACGGTGGAGAAGTTTTCTTACAAAGTCACACACACAAATTTCTTTATTTTCTCTCACGTGTGTGACAATTCACTGCTATACTTAGAGCACCATAATTGCTGGTTAGGAAAAGTAGCGGCGATATTTAAACATGGATATAATCCTGGTGCGCGGGCTCAGATTTAGCTCTGATTTGCGCAACGTTCCGACATTATTAACAAAATATTTCCCATTATCGGCGTGTTGTACATGTCGCGTTGAGACGATGCGTTGGGAAACCACAAGAATATTACGAACGCCGGCCAGCACAGTACGCAGTATCAAGCTTGTCTCACTTGCAGAAAAGTATCCCCTTTACAGGATTGCATCACATAACTCTTTAGGCTTCGTAAATCACATACTGGCGTGTCAAAGGTCATTGAAAGAAAACGTTAACAAACATGGAATTACCCTGGCATACTACTCGGATTTTAAGCAGAAATCCGAGAGCGATTACCAAAAGCCTCAAGAAAAGCAAAAAGTATCAATATTTCAAAAGATGAAACAAATGACCAAAGACTACTGGCATGTATTAATACCTGTGCACGTTGTCACTTCCATAGGATGGGTAGCTATATTTTATACTGCTGTTAGGAAGTATGTATGAATACAGTTAACATATATGTGTGTGTATATATATGTGTGTTATGAGTTTGAAACAATTAATTATATATGAAACTATATTTTCAGTGGTGTGGATATAGTACAATTATTGGAATATATGAATTTTAGTGGAAAATATGTAGATGTAGTATGTAACTCTGGAGCTGGCGACTGGGCTATAACTTATGCGCTTTATAAGATATTTACTCCACTTAGATACACAGTTACTATTGGTATGTAGTTTTCATATTTTACTGACAGCCTCAGACAGCACATATTATTAAAAGATGTCTTAAAGATGTCCAAAAGACATCTCAAAGGAATAGAACATCTTTTGGATGTTTTTAAGGAGTTCATTCACTAGATATGTATTTTCAAGGTGCTCAAGAAGTGTATTTTTAATGGTGCATTAAAGGAGCTATTCATAAATTCACTATTGAGTGTAATTACGCTTTTATGATAAATACCTTATATAGCTTCTGCTGTAAGATTATATGTGCAAAATTACAATTTTCAATAACAAATTTCTTATGAATGATGCAGACAAATTGCATGAAACTTTAATTACAAATGCATTTTACTGCGATAACTGTTATCTTAATTTTGGTGTGGTTTTAAGCATTTTGATTTAAGTGAATAAATCTTAAGACATTTTTTAGTACATTATGCTGTCTGGAATGTAACTACACTTTGTGAATTATATGCATTACTCAAAAAACTAATTATATACTGCTAATTGTATATAATACTAAAATATAGGAGGCACAACCATGGCTATCAGACATCTGAGCAAATTAGGCTACGTGAAGGCGCCATCATTCAAACGTCAGTCAGCAGAGGTGAGTAATGCGACTGGAGTGCAATGTCATCTATTGAGATTAAAAAAATAAACTGTGTCTTTATACATGAAACCTCTCTCTTGTCTTTTTTTCTTTTACACGCATACATGGTACAGCCTACGCGCAAAATCATGAGTAGGTTGCCGATTACAATTAATTTCAAATATATCGTAATGATCTCTGTCGCTTTCGTACTTTGCGAAGTGTTGTTATCGCGCGATTAATACGTAGTAGCGATCTCGCGTCGTTCCGCGCTGGAATATGCTTTCTTCGTAATTGTTTTTCGTCGTGTTGTAGCCAATACAGTCAATGAAATCTGCAGCGGAACACGAGACAAAATTCAAGGCAGAGTGTAAAACGGAGCGGCACACAGAACCGCCGAAACCATAATATATTGCCCGCACTATGTCAGACCTATGAGTTGGATTCAATGTAGCTCGGGATTCAATTATACAATACCATCGATGTACATTTCGCATTGTAAATTATGTGTGTCCTGATAAATATTCACTTGCTTTTACCTCCTTGGCTTGTTTACTTGTTTACCCAAACCGTTTGTCTCCGTAAATAAACACAAGTATACATATATATTGTAGCGGCTGTAGGTATCAGATTTACTTGATAATATTCTAGAAGAGCTTTTTCATTCTTGTTTAAGTATATTTGTGTCTTTATTGAAGGACTGCTATTTATACATACCGTATACGTTATTTAAATAAGATTACACTTTTATCTACAACTTAAAGCTATTTAAATGTAATAGCTACGTTTATTAATCTTGTGAAGAGTAACAACAGTTTTTTGGCAGCTTCAAGTTGTGCGTCTTTCAGTGTTACGATATTGTCGCTTGTTGATACTGTCTACACACTTTTATATTCCAAACGAATTCATTCAGCCTCCGTTCTTTGTGCCGCGGAAACTCTAAACGCGTCGGTATTAACCCTCGAAGTATACCATACTACTGGTCTGTTTTTTGTAGCCGCACTGCTGAACTGGTGAAATAAGTTAGATAAGTATATCTTTTTTTCACTCTCACTTATTGCATCAGTGTGCATCAGTTCAGTAATGCAATTACAAAGAACAGACCACATGTTTCATTATATACCGATAGATTTCAATATTACGCGCGTTCTTACAGCAGGACGATATATTTATTCTAATAAATACTGTCAATGAATGATACGTGAAATACGATGATAACTGATTATTGACGAAGGGAATTCACAGGAATGTTCCTGAGTTTTCGTCATAAATTTGAGTTATGATAAACATGCGATAAAAATGTGGTAGATATATACATGCGCTATAAGAAGTACGGAATTCATGTTTAACCACGAATAACTATTATGCTATTATATCACAGTTGCCTGCGCAACTCGTTCATCGTAATGAGACCACTGCATTCACAGAAGAAAGTATTTTGGATAAATAAATAAGGTTCGTATATATATTAGACATACCACACTTATCTATAACCATCTATTCGTCTTCTTCAACTGATTAAAATAATCCCAAAGTTTAATATGATTCAGGTTCTCTAATATGCAGTCTTACACAATCGTCATAGCGTTTTACATAAAATTAAGACAGTTAAAATTACACTCTGCTTTTGATATTTGAAATATGCTTAATGCACACGAGATAATCGGCAGTCGTTGTCACCTCTTTATAGTATATCACTTTATCAGCCGCTATTATCGATAATATATCAATTGATTCAATATCTTGCATTAAAAGATTATGATAACATATCAGCGTATTATGGTACATGAATACATACCATAATAAGATTAACAGTGACCACTATTGCAGCCAATACAGATATTTTTCTTTGCATAGTAATCGTATACGATGTGAATGTAGCAAATGCCGCACGCACAAAGGACTGGTTTTACCTGACAAAGATTGTATCATTCCATTTATATATATATATATATAGTAGTTGTATAAAAAAAGTGTTAAAATGTCTTTTTAATTGCAGTCAGATATTTAAAAAATTCTAAAAATGATGAATAATCGAGCATAAAATTTCTAAAACGTTTTCTGAAAATCTATAACCACGTTAGACCAGAAAAGGTCAAGTAAAATTTTCTTTTTATCATTTTATCATCCCTCATTTTGTTACTCCTCATAGTTTTGAGGGATCTCTATTTCTACCTGTAGAGTCATTTTTGAGCACCAACAAAAAGTTGTTTTGTTCTTAGGTCAACTTTTGCCTTACATATTCATACGCAGTTCCAGATTGTCTAAACGTTCACATTGCTGGACATTTTTTGTCAGTTAATTTCTACGGATTATTCATTATCGGACGATCATTACATGCGCAGTTCTATCTAACAATATCAAACACGACCACCGATGCGGCTTAGCCCATGAACTGATAACTCGCCGATACTGGCTGCGGTGCTCTCGGTTGCGTGTGGGATATACGTTGAATGTGGCACGCACGACACATAAGCCTGCCGTCGAGTGGGTAGCACCGTTTATCCGGCTCGTCGGTCAACTGCATGCCGCAGTCTTCGCAAACGTAGCAATCCACATGAAAGTCTTTGTCCATGGAGACTACCCTGACCGTCTCCTCGGTGCCCTAAAAGAATATTCCATCAGGGATGCTGTCGCGCCTTCCGACGACATAGCAAGCGAGTTAATTTCACACGCGCATACCTCAACAGGCGTAATTCCCTTCCCGCAAGACGCGCATTTGGGCGCGAACATTCTGTGATAATCGTTCACGCAGTAAATCTTGTTGTCAACATCGACTGTGAAGGGAACGCCATCGAGACACTCGTTGCACACGCAACACCTAAAGCAACCTGGGTGATACGACTTGCCCATCGCTTGCAGTATCTATGCAAAAAGGATGAATGACATGAAAGTTCAATGAGGATTTAACAGACGATAACGATCGGATCTCGTCGCTTACCATTTCCATGATAAGGTGGCCGCAAATCGCGCATTTCTCGGCCGTCTGTTGGAAACCGGAGTACTGCGAACATAACGACATTTATAAGCTAGACAGATGATTATCGCAAAATCGCAGTAGAATGATTTTAACATACCAAATAGTCCTCCTCGCAGTAAACCCTCCCGTGGACGTTATAAAAAGCTTTGCCGCGGAGCGCCCTTCCGCAGGAACAGCATATGAAGCAATTAGTATGATAGAGGTTGCCCATTGCTTGACAAGCTTGTCCGGCGCCGGTCACTTTCTCACCGCATGTATGGCAAATACCTGTCAGCAAAAGATATCAATGCGAAACTTCACGCACTACTTGTGCTGCATCGCCGAATAATCAACGGATATTAAGGCCTCGAGCTCCTCGCCGAGGAACTCTCGATTGATAACGTGAGAGGTGAAAAAATATACGTTAAAAGTTTCTGCAAAATACGTTGAAATAAAAAAAACATAACCACAAAATAACACTTTCAATCGATCAGACATCTGTAAAATAGTTCGAACGCTTTCCTTTTGCTTTAGCGATCAATAAATCACCGTAAAATTAATGACACGCAATCTATCTTTGTAATCTACTTTTCCTCATGATTTTGTCGCGTTAGTTTTATCGACTATTTTGCATATCTGTTCGATCGATTTCAAGTATCATTTTATGGATACATCTTTTTATTTTTACGAATTTTGCAAGAATTTTTAGCGCGTATTTTCTTGCTTCTAACGTCATAAATCAAGATGGTCACGGCAAGGAATCAGTGCTGGGATTCTGTGTTGGGATCTCGTTATTGAAGTTTCGTTATCGTTGCGCAGT